GCCCCAAATATCCCAGTGCTTTCTTCATCCTCCCTATATATTTGAAAAAGGACTTTTTGTTATCTTTGATTTTGGATGCAAGTCGTAGCTCTATGTCCACCTTAGCTCTCCTGACAGCCCCCCTACAGGCCTGAGCAGAGGAGGTATACTCCTCTTTGGAGATAGCACCCCCCTTCCAGCGGTTGAACGCCGCCTTTTTGGCAGTCAGGCATTCCTGGACACCCTTGGTGAGCCAGGGGAGCTTTCGGGCACTCCTGCCCCCCTTGCTTTTTGTTGGGATGGTCACCCCTTGGGCCCTGAGTATCGCCTCCTTAAGGAACGACCACTCATCTTGGGCACTGAGTTCCCCTGCCCTTGAGAACTATTCTCCTCAATTCGTTGAAGTTGGCCCTCTTGAAGTCTAGGGCTATCGCCTTGCTGCAGGCCCTTGACACCCTGCGCTGGATGGTAAACTCCAGCAAGTGATGATCGCTATCACCCAGGTGGTCAAGGACCTGAAGGCCCCTTACCAGGTCGTTGCCTGTGGCCAGGACCAGGTCCAACAGGGCATTTCCTTTGGTGGGGCTGTGCACCTCCTGAATTAAGTGGAGGTCCTGTATCTCGGCCAGGAACCTCCTGGAACGGTCTGACCTGACTGACTGTTCCTCCCAGCAGATGTCTGGGTAATTGAAGTCACCCATGACAACTACATCCCTTGCCTTAAGTGCCTCTGCAAGCTGGCCCGAAATTCCCAGTCCAGCTCCTCCCCTTGGTTGGGGGGTCTGTAGTAGACCCCCACCGTTAAATCCCCCTCCGCACGGCCCCCTTGTATCTTATAACTATAATGCTTACTTTGTAATAAACAAATCTACTGACAAAGTTTAGTGCCCATATTTTTGGACTATTTTTTGTTTCAATAACAAAAAATTATCAACAGTATGCATCTAAATAGCACTGATAAAGGCATAATATAAAAAAACCTTTTGTGGTTTCAAATAACATTTTAATCAACTTAATTGAGGGGGAAAGACCTAATGGGTCAGCACTTTATTACACAATCTGGATAAAGTTTAATGAAAAATTAAATATACTGATGCTGCAGATCAAGAGAAGCAACAATAAGCACAAATGACGCTCACACACCTAAAGCTCAGTTCCATAAGCAAACTGGCTCGCTCTCTCTTCACGTATTGATTTGCTAGCACTGAAGATCCAAAAATAGTCTCTACCAGTTTATCAACAAAATGATCCAGGGGAAATAGTCAACAGGAAATTAAAGCCCTAATGTTAGTGTCTGACGACAGTTAGGAAAGCAAATGAATGCAGGAATGTTAATGCAGCACAGCTCCAGTCTGGTAGCTATGTGGTAGTAAAGGGGTAAGATCAAAAGTGAAGAAATGTTCTTTTCTTTCTTTCTTTTTTTTCCCCCCACTTAGTGCCCAACCTCCCTCTCCCTCCAAATTGGAAATTGGGTCCCACTTTGCAAGGTACTGTACACAAGAATAAAGATTGAAGGCTAAGCTGAGTTTACTTTTTGTGGATGACTTGATTGCTTTTGTTTTTTAAAAGCCTAGAGTAGAAAGAGAGAGACAGGTCTGAAACCAGAACTCACTGGTGGGTACAGCTTGCCCCCTTTCCTGGCCCATGCAGTTAGGCTCCTTCTTGCTAGCTCTCCTTCTATTCCCATGACTCTTCGGAGCCCAATGGGTCAGCTTCAAAAAAGTGATCTCAGCCAAACCTTGTCCCTGGTGACTGGGGTATTCTGTTGGGATATTGCAGGTATGAGTTCAAACCCTTTGAGGCTGGGGGGCAAGAGGGGACATGTGGTCTACCAACTAGGCTATTCATGGAGAAGGAAGATAATGTAATTTAGTCAGTAAATACAACCATCTACGTAGATATCTATCTGTTCAGGGCAGACAGCCTGCTAAGATGCATACACTGTATACAAATCAGGAGAACACAAAATTACAACTGGACAGATGCATCTTCACGGAGGTTGAATTTCCCCACTGAAAAAGAATGGAGAGCAATGTGCTCCCCAGCTAAGTGAGGATTGATTTCTGGAGGTGGATCAGCACTTTCCAGCAGAATGAATGGGAGGACTGTGGTTTTACAGGGCTAAACCAAATGCCCCCCCAGGGCTTCTTACTAGCTTCTCTCTGAAAGCGCAGGAGAATTACAACTTCACCCAGGTGAAGCAGAACATCTACACTGTCGTTGGCTGTGCAGCCCAGGACTTTTCTAGTAGCTTGATCAGTGATCGTTAGTGTTTTCAGACTCAAGCCACCCCTTGTTAAACTCAAAGCACCCATCAGAAAAGACAGCTCTGAGCTTTCACTCACTTTTTGACTATGAAAAAATAATAGAGCAATTCTGCTGCAAAGAACTCAGAAAGACCACAACAAGTCAGAATTATTTTGACACAACAGATTCCTATATGAATCCTCTGGGTTTATCTCATGAATCACATAGGTGTTTGCACATCTAACACCATTAACACTGAGTGGCACCCTGAGAAGGATCTCACAATTTCCTCAGTGAGAATGACTGAGCTAGATATCAAATACTGAATGGGTGAAACAGAATTTATCCCAGTATTGTCAGATAACATTTTTTTACACAGGCTGTCATTAATCCCTAACATGCTAACAAAGGCTGCAGATAAATATAGAGTGAATTCAGCAAGAAGTAATGCAAACCCTTGCAAGATACAAGCATGTACAATCAATTACAGGGTACATGCCCCAGCCACCAAGGTGAAAAGACCAGAGATGCTGCCTGACATCTTTTTCTAGGCACAGAGTAATTTAGTTAGTGACATGCTCTAAATTACTCTAGGCACAGACTAATTTAGTTTAGACATGCTCACTGTTTTAATAATCTCTCACATTTTCCCCATACAAACAGATTGGAGAATTAGCAAAGGTTAACAGGAATTAATATGGTAACACGTGGATGCAAAAATCAATAAACAGTTCTTAAGATGGGGATGGTATACATTGAAGCTTTAGACTTCCCCCATTTCCTTAAGGGAGTCTTTCAATCTCGTCTCCAATTGTAAGGAATGCTCCATCTCCAGCTCCCCAAATACTCAAAGCTGCCCTTCAGAGACACATTTAAACTAGACAACTTCCTTCAAGATCTGTCAGGGTGTTACGAGGTACTGAGTAACCAGCAGCACACTTATAAATGGGAAATCCATTCTTGAGAGCACGGAGGCAGAAAGGGGTCTTGGAGTCATTATTGACTCCAAGATGAACATGGGCCGACAATGCGAGGTCACGGTTGGCAGGGCTAACTGGACCTTGTCGTGCATCCACAGGTGCATCTCTAGCAGGGCCAAGGAGGTGATCCTCCCCCTCTATGCAACACTGGTCAGGCCAGTGAGTACTGTGTCCAGTTCTGTGCGCCCCACTTCGAGAGATGTGGACAACATGGAGAGGGTCCAGAGGAGGGCCACCCGCATGATCCAGGGACAACAGGGCAGACCCTACAATGAGAGACTGCGGGGCCTGAACCTGTTCAGCCTTCACAAGAGAAGGCTGAGGGGGGACCTGGTGACCATCTATAAACTCACGGGGACCAGAAGGGTTTGGGAGAGACCTTGTTTTCCCTAGCGCCCCCTGGCATAACAAGGAATAACAGCCACAAGTTGCTGGAGGGTAGGTTTAGATTAGACACCCATAAGAACTACTTCACTGTCCGGGTGGCTAGGATCTGGAACCAGCTTCCAAGGGAAGTGGTGCTGACTCCTACCCTGGGGGTCTTTAAGAGGAGGCTTGATGCCTACCTAGCTGAGATCATTTGAGCCCAGTTTTTTCTCCTGCTGAGGCAGGGGGGTCAGACTTGAAGATCTACAAGGTCCCTTCGGACCCTACTTCTATGATTCTATGAAGAATTGGTGTATTGTATTTTATTGCCAACAGAATTACACAAATTTGCTACATATATACATGCTGTTTGTAGCATGGGGGATAATTAAACACTTTGTTTAAAACTGCCATTGAAACATTGCAAATATCATGTGTCTTGTGCTTTCATGCTCATATTTTGTTTTCCTGCCTTAAAAAAGAAGCAAAGACTTGTTATTTTAGCTAATGAAGAACAATTACAATAATACTTGTTTTATTTTTTCAGATTTCTGAAAACAGAAACTGCAACTTCTGTTTCCTGCAATAGGAGACAAGAGTGAATTCGAAGTATGCCTGTTAGATGCCTCTGGAAGGATATCAAGAAAACCATAGAGCAAAAATCTACTCTTCCTGCAAAACATTTTTTGTGACAAAAAGTAATTTTAAATCTAAGAATAAAATATTACAAGCTAATTTATTCTCAGTTTACAGCAGAGAAGTCGTCTGCCATATGTACCATTGCTAACATATATGAATGTTTGTTTTACATCTAAAATGATGTAACAAAGAGGTGAAATTTTCCATGCTATGGTTTTATATTTTTTTGTTAGGAGCTGCTAACAAAAGAATTTGCCTCATCAGTTGCTATCTAAAAATTAATATAAACAAAAAGATACTGCATGGCAAAACCTGTTGCCCTTGAATGAATACAGTTCATCTCCTGGCATTCAGAAGCCAAAACTACACACAAAGCAACCGCACATTTCTAAGTTATCAGTCAGTGTGCTTCTTGGGGGGCTGTTAGGAAGAGACAAATTTGAAATGAGAGGGATATTGGAGAAAAGAACACGTATTTTGTAAAGATATTTTTCTATATGAAACTTGTTTCCTTGATAAGTTGGCAAGCTTGGAATCGCTTGTAGTGTGTCTCCTAGTCATGGGTATTTGTAAACTCAAAAGAGTTTATCAGATATAAAATGTCAGTATTTTTGGTTCATTTTGTTTCCTATTTCAGCTATAAATATGGGTGGAAATCACCTGTTCAGGGTGACATAAACTGTATTTTAAGTTCCCTTCTTTTGAAAAATGTGAACCTCCACTATTGTGTCCCAGTGAAGTAGATTTTTTGTTACCTTGGAAGGATTATGTTAAAATTGGAAGGATTTCCCTAAAATGCAAAGCTATGGCAGAATTTTAATTACAAACAGAAGTAGTAACTTAAACAGGAGACCTTTATGATGTTGTGTTGCAGTTATCAGACAGTTGAGAAGTTCAAGAGGGTGGGGGACAAACAGCTGTTCTGTTACTTTTATGCACCTATTGAAAAAATCACTAGTACAGTAGGGCATATGTTAATACCATTTCCTTATTCATGACTAGCTATTCAAGTGTCTGTCTGAAAACAGAGACATTATTCTAATGCATATATTCTTCAGGGCTGATTCATTTAGTGAGCTCCATTGCACAGCGTAATGGACATTGATATCATTATAATCTCGTCTGGCAGAGCAGAATATCCAAAAATGTCTCATTATTCAGAAGATTCTTTGCCTGTCATCAATCCAGTACTCATGATTACCTCACTGGATATAAGGGCCAGTGATGTCCCTTACCTCCATACTGTCTGGTCTGTCTGAAGAAGTAAAGTTAATTTTTAAACCTCTTCAGGGTTTCCAATTACATAATGTTGATCCCTTCCACTTATTTCTGGACACGGACCAATGTCTTGTCCCTCCAAAGGTGACACTGATCCAGTCCAGTTGTAGCATTTTCTGAGATTGCATCATGCCAGGACATCACTGTTGCCATGCAAGGTCTGGTTAAACTAAATTCCAAAAATCCTCTCTTTTCTTTGTTTTAATAAATTGGTTCATTGCCTCAACTTTTGCTCTATTCTGATCAATAAGTGCAAGTTATAGTTAAAAATGTAGGCAGTTGTTTGCTAACCTCATGTTCAAGAGCTGCATGTTTGCTAGGACCTGATTTTTCAAACACACGTGCACACAATGTAGTATGGTAACTTAAGCCACACATTTAGATATGGGGGTTTTTTGGAATCTTTAGTTCCTGCCTGTCAGAGACAACAGTGTGGTAGACTGAGGCTGTCCATGTGATGTTGTGGTAATGATGGGGGTGAATTGTTATAATAGGATGTGGCTTTTTACCTGTGTCCTTGGGTGCATTCAATTCAGGCTTATGCCTAGGGGATTCTGTCGTGCTGGTTTCTGTATAGCGCATATCCTGTCTGTGGTCGAGGACACAATGGGTGGTCATAAAGGCAAAGTATCCTTGGAGCCTGGAGACAGAATTTAGGGTCAGTCAGGACTCTGCTTTGCATTTTTTTAACCCTCGTATAAAATTGAATTAGCTTCATAGTTGAATTGCACATTCATTCAAGCAAGCACTCAGAAGATTGCTGAGTAGAATCTTGAACTGTGGGCTCTCGAGCCATCAGATGCTTTCCCTTTGTTTGAATTTGGTTTTGTTTTTTTTGCCTTGCAGCAATCCAAAACTAAAATAGAGGATTCTGAAAAGCACACAGAATAGTGTGTTCAGCTTGTAAGCTTTTGAAATGGCTCCATCTCAGGAAACACTCACTGAGTCCAACTGCTGGTTCCTTCATTAAAAAAATGAAAAGAGCAACAACTAAACAATGGAGCTCATGAAGACAATAGACCATTGTCCTTCTAAGCAAAAACAGTGAAATAATGACAAGAAATAGTTTTATTTCCCCAGTGACATTCTTCACCTCGGTGCTCCACCCTGCTTACTCACATCTGTATGTTACAGGCTTATACAATCTCTCTGTGGTGTTATTTACACTGAGAATTCATTACAACACAGAATTCCTGACCTAATTTAGTTTTGCAGAGTCTAAATCTTGTTTTAAATGTATACCCAAACTGTGCTTTAGTTAATTTATTGGGGGCTATTATGCTATAACTTGGTCCCCCAATATGAGAGAATTAGGAAGAAGAGATGGGACTTAATTTCATGTTACTTAACAAGATTGGCTTGTCTTGAAAATTTAGCGTATGCTGGGCTAGACTTTAGTGCTGCTTACAGACGTGGGGGGAAAAAAACAAACAGCACTTTACATTCATCTCGGTGCGCCCCCAATGCCAAGCGTAGTGCATGCCCAGAAGAGGCATAGCATTAGTTTGACCAGGCTAACCCAGCATCTGTATAGATCGTTCACTTCAGCGGGGCTTTCCAGCACTTTTATCTAATAGCCAAAAAGCCCCATTGAAGCACCCGATCTCTACAGATGCTGGGGAGCCAGGTCAAACTAATGCGCTTCCTCTTCTGATAAAGCACTGTTTTTCTGTTTGGATTTTTCCACGTCTGTGAGCAACCTAAATGTTCTCTGATTGTGCCCACTTGAGTAAAATTATGTTTCAGTAAGATAGTTGCTAGCAAGGTTTAAGAACAATTTTTCAGATAATTGTAGTGAAGGACTTTTGCCCAGAAAGTTTTCGTGGGTTTTTTTTTCTATTTTAAACTGCCCTAGGCTATGCTGCACATTACAACTGTATTACAACAGCATCTTGCCACACAGTACTACTTGAAGTGCAGGTAGAACTGTGCACTCGCAGGAAAAGCTGTTCTTCTGGAGTCATTCTTTAAAAAAAATACCTCTGTTTCCTAGAGAAATTTTGCTCACAACAAACAAGTTTTACATGTAGTTCTACCACAGCTAATTTTGTTCTGTTTCAGTGAAGGCTGACTCCATAGCACTAGTTGGTTTTAAAGAGTTTGTTGTTGGTAGAAATTCTCAGTGAGACGCTCTGAGATGGATCTTTTTTAATGATCCATTTCTAAATCACATTTTATATGCACACGTGCTCTGTATTGTACTTGTTTTGAATGCACTGTGTGCAGGCAATGGGGGTTGTTTTGGTATTTTGCTTTTTAGGTGCATGCCGCTTTTCCTACTTGAACTAGTTCTGCTCTTCAGTTGTCTGCACCAGGCAAGCCAGTTCAGATAGCTGAGAGCATGGAGCCTGCAATTTCCAGACAATCGTGTCATTGTATCCACTTACCAAGCACTCCTTAAGTGTTCAAATCATTTTCACTTGTTTTCTTTTCTTTTCTCCCCAACACAAATATCTGCGAAAGCATTTGAACTAGTCAGTTGCAACTTCCTCACCCATTTTTTCTTTCAGGTTTTAGACTCTGTCTTCAAAAGCTCATAGCACTGTCCCCACGGTGCTCCTATTGAAATCACTGGAACTTTGCCTTCAGGTTTGCTCAGTAGTGGATCCAGGAACAGGGCAGTGGGTTGCAGCTTCCCCCTCCCACACACACACTCCCCCCCCACACACACACACATTTTGACTATAGTGTGCACACTTGGTGAGCTCTGTGCTCACTGCCTGGTTAGCCCTGGGCTCCTGGCAGAGCTCTGCCTGAACAGTGTGCTTTGAGCTCACCAGCAGATTTGGACAGTGTCTGGCTCCATGGAGGCCCTGCTTTTGCGTGACCCTGAAACCTTGGGCATAAGCACTGCCACTGTTTGTCCTTCTTCTCCCTCCCCGCTGAACTCAGTATCAGGGGAAAGGAAGGAAGGAATGGTGGGGGCTGGGATTCACATATGACAGCCAAAGGGAGGGTGCAGTTGCGCTGCCACACCCTCTCGAACCACCCCTGGGTGGCTCACTATCCAGCCATCAGTGAGCATTTCTCAGAATCCCATCCTTTATGTGCTACTTTTCTTTCAATTGCTTTACTCAGAATGCTGCTTAGATATTTTGCATTCTTTAAAGTAAAAGGAAGAAATATTATGATTTATATAGTGTTATGGGTATGCATGGTTCTTTAAAAAGAAGACAAGGTCTACCCTGAGAAGTCTTCTGTTGTATGGGAACATAAAAGAATTAGGAAAGGCAACATGTAGTGAAAGTTGCTCATTGCAGGGGTCTGATTGGTTAACTAGTGCAAGCTACCTATGTAATGACTGTGCACACCTGCAAGTTTGTAAAGGGTTTTAGAACGTAAAAAGCTTTTAAATCATTCTTCATGATGATGTACAAACACTTGTAAACATGTTGCTATAAAAGGTTTGGATATTTGTGAAGTCTTTACAAAAAGCTGCAGGAGTCTCCAAAGATAAATCTTGGGTGGAGAAAGGAAATGAAGCAATGATAAACTGTTAGAGGCTCTTTCTTCACAGCATTTTGCAGACAAACGAGCAGGTGTTTTCTTAGGGTTACCAATGTGGAATGTGATGTACAAAAAAGCCAGGTGATTTCCTTAGTCATTCAATGAGTCAGTTACAGGCCTGGGAGTAGAACCGCAAGTGTCCCGACTCTCTTCCAGACTCTGCCCCCTTGACCAGTTTTTTATGATGCATTCTTCTCTCCAGCAAAGACTTGAACTGCTTTTTTTCTGCTTTTGGCAAAAAAATCTGGGCAAATTAGAAGCTAAGTGGCAACTCACATTAACATTTCTATCTGTGGATCCCCTTTTTTATGGGATTAATTCTTAGCATTTGCTATTGCTGGAATAAATGAATCTGGAATAAATTAATAAAATATTTTCAAGCTCCTTGAAAGTTTTTTGTTGTTATGTTTTATATTAGAAAATTCTAAATTCCAATCAACGCTGTAAGCATTAATAAAAATAAAGGTTGTACCTCAGCGGCACTGGTGCACAAGTTGTGAAAGTCTGTTTCTATGGGCGCACCATAAACACTATAGCTGAACACCAGGGCTTCACAGACTTGAAGCCTCAATTGTTAAATAATCACAGACCTGAATTGTGTCTTGTTATTATTTAAGTATGCAAAACAGTGGCAATAGTGTAACCGGTGTTTCCTTTCTTCACTCTCTTTCTCTAAACGATGGTAACAGTCCATGAAATAATAAAACCTTACCACTTTCTCAGGGACAGACATTACACACAAGCCAGTTTAAGTGATCAGAAACTAGTTTAAACCTGTAACAGAACAGATGTTCAGTGCACATAAACCAGTTTGAGAATGGCTGAAATTGGTCTGAGATAAACCTGGCTGAATGGAGTATCAGACTTCAACTGGTTCAAGCCAATATATTATGCAATACTGGTTTGACCGTACATTATGCAATGTCTGTCTCAGACCCCTGCTGGTTGAAGATAAACCAGACACCTCCAGCATCCCAGTGTACTCTCTGGGCAGGGTGGGGCTCTCTGCTCCACAGCAGGGCTGGCCCCTCCCCTCTGCTCCCTAGC